GAAGCTTCACTTTGCAAAGAATACCCCCAATCAATTGCAAGGAATATATACAGTGAGGAACAGAAGTATTTGAACACCCTGAAATTTTGCAAGTTCTCCCACTTAGAAATCATGGAGGGGTCTGAAATTCACATTGTAGGTGCATTCCCACTCTGAGAGACAGAATTTAAAAAAAAATTCAGGAAATCACATTGTATGATATTTAAAGAATGTATTTGTCTTGCACTGCTGAACATAAGTATTTGAACACCTAAGAAACAGCAAGAATTCTGGCTCTCAAAGACCTGTTACTGTGCCTTTAAAATGTCCACCTCTACTCCACTCATTAATCTAATTTAGTAGCACCTGTCTGAGCTCTTTAAAGACACCTGTCCACCCCACAGTCAGTCAGACGCCAACCACTACCATCGCCAAGACCAAAGAGCTGTCAAAAGACACCAGAGACAAAATTGTGGACCTCCACAAGGCTGGAAAGGACTATGGGGCCATTGCCAAGCAGCTTGGTGAAAATACATCAACTGTTGGAAAGCAATTGTTAGAAAATGGAAGAGACTAAAGTCGACTGTCAGTCTCCCTCAGACTGGGGCTCCATGCAAGATCTCACCTCGTGGGGTATCACTGATGATGAGAAAGGTGAGGAAGCAGCCCAGAACTACAAGGGAGGAGCTGGTGAATGACATGAAGAGAGCTGGGACTACAGTTGCAAAGGTCACTGTTGGTAGAACACTACGCCGTCATGGTTTCAAATCATGCATTGCATGGAAGGTTCTCCTGCTCAAGTCATCACATGTCCAGGCCCGTCTGAAGTTTGCCAATGACCATCTGGATGATCCAGAGGAGGCATGGGAGAAAGTCATGTGGTCATATGAGACCAAAGTAGAACTTTTTGGTCTAAACTTCACTCGTCGTGTTTGGAGGAAGAAGAAGGATGAGTTGCATCCCAAGAAAACCATCCCTACAGTGAAGCATGGGGGTGGTAACATCCTGCTTTGGGGGTGCTTTTCTGCAAAGGGGACAGGACGACTGCACTGTATTAAGGAGAGGATGAATGGGGCCATTTATTGTGAGATTTTGAGCAACAACCTCCTTCCCTCAGTCAGAGCATTGAAGATGGGTCATGGCTGGGTCTTCCAACATGACAACGACCCGAAGCACACAGCCAGGATAACCAAGGAGTGGCTCCGTAAGAAGCATATCAAGGTTCTGGAGTGGACTAGCCAGTCTCCAGATCTAAATCCAATAGAACATCTTTGGAGGGAGCTGAAACTCCGTGTTGCTCAGCGACAGCCCCAAAACCTGACAGATCTAGAGGAGATCTGTGTGGAGGAGTGGGCCAAAATCCCTGTTGCAGTGCAAATCTGGTCAAAAACTACAGGAAACGTTTGACCTCTGTAATTGCAAACAAAGGCTTCTGTACCAAATATTAACACTGATTTTCTCAGGTGTTCAAATACTTATGTTCAGCAGTGCAAGACAAATAAATTCTTTACAAATCATACAATGTGATTTCCTGAATTATTTTTTTTAATTCTGTCTCTCAGAGTGGGACTGCAGCTATAATGTGAATTTCAGACCCCTCCATGATTTCTAAGTGGGAGAACTTGCAAAATTGCAGGGTGTTCAAATACTTCTGTTCCTCACTGTATTAAAAAAACAAAAACAAAAAAATGATTGGATGATGGAAGTTGGCAGAGCTTCCCATTATTTACTAAAGGTCTGAAGCAACTGCATTTGCAAAAATGCCTTTAGTAAGTCAACCCCAAAGGATGGAAGGATTTAGGATGACATGATGAAAAGAGGGATTTGAGACCAAAAGAGGGACAGAGTGAATTCAAGACCAAATAAGAGAGAGATATTTGGGACCAGATACTGACTTATATAATTATGATAAAATGGGGGAAGCAGGGATTTAGGACCAAATAAGGGAGAGAAAAGGAGGCTTAGGACTAAATGAGGGACAGATGGAACTGGGGCCCAATAAGGGAGAGAAAAAGAGACCTAGGACCAATGGAGGGACAGAGAGAATTGGCATCAAATTAGGGAGAAAGTAATTTGGGAACAATAAGGGATGGATGAATTTAGGACCTACTGAAGTAATAAAGGGATTTGAAACCAAATGAGGGACAAAGAAATTTGGGATGGAGGTATTCAGGACCAAATGAAAGGATGGAGGGATTTAGGACCAAAAGAGGGACAGAGCGAAATTGGGACCAATGACTGACATAGATACTTGGGATAAATGTGGGACAAAGGGATTTGGCACTAAATGGGATATAAGAAATTGGGGCCAAATGAGGGGAAGGACTAAATGAGGGACAGAGGGAACTGGGGTCAAGTTATGTACAGATGGAATTATGATCAAATTAGGGACAAAGGTAATTGGGGAAAAATGAGAAACAGACGGATTTAGGAGAAAATGAAGGAATTAAGGGATTCTGGACCAAATGAGGCACAGAGGGAATTGGGAAAAATATAGATAATGCAGTTTGAAGCAAAATAAGGTGTGGGGGGATTCAGGATCAAATGAAGGATGGAATTTGGGATTAAGTGAGGGAAAGACAGTTGGGACCCAATGAGAAATAGTTAGATTTGGACCTAGAATTGACATATTTTAGGTAACTGGGATACATTGATGAGGGACAGAGGGATTTAGGAACAAATGAGAGACAGAAGGAACTGGGGCCAAATGGGGGGGAGAGAGAGATAGATCTAGAACCAAATGATGGACAGAGGGAAATGGCATCAACATACTGTAGGGACAAAAGTAATTGGGGAAACAAATGCGAGACAGACTGATCTGCGACAAAAAGAGGGACAGAAGGATTTTGGACCAAATGAGGAATGGAGGGAATTAGGATCAAATTAGGGACAGAGGGATTTGGGAAAAAATGAGACACAGAACAGTTTGGGACAAAATAAGGGACAGAGGGATTTAGGACCAGATTAAGGACAAGTGGGAGTTTGGATCAAGTGACAGGAGGAGATATTTGGGACACATTGAAGGACAGAGGGAACTGGGAAACAATGAGGGACAAAGGGACAAAAAAAAACACAAACTACTACTCACATTTGTTGGCCTTCAGTTGACTTTCATCAAATGAGACTGGATCAACATAGTCAAAGTAATATTCGTATGTCACTGTATAGTTGTCAGCTTTATTTTCCATTTTGGCGCAGCGCCCACTGCTCACATAATGCACCAGTTCTGTGCCAGTGAATGCTCCTGGTCCGCCGTCAGTTCCTACAGTGGCTGGAAAGAATACTGTATGTTTTTTGTGAGTTTACTTAGACGGCAGAGCTCTTGACCAGTTATTTACTTTCTACCCCCCCTCCCTCCACTGCATAGATACAAATCTAAGATAAACATTAGGAATAGTTCAGTGTTATAGAGGAAATCAGAGGGTACACAGTGATCCTATGTCAATGCACAAATAATAAAATGAGTAGATAGGAAATCTATGAATGAACAGGGATTGACAAAACATATGTGTTTTAGAAATTGTGATTTATTTTAGATGGGAGAGATCACAGCTAGATTTCTTAAAGCCACTCATTTACTAAAATTAAACTATGAATACAAGCCATCCCAGCAAAGTAGATAGTAAATAATTACCACTTCTTCTGCCCACAGTGCCCATTGCCAATGTCCCAATACAAGAAACAGTAGTGACATAGGGACTATCGGGAGGAACCACTGAGCATAGAGAAGGAATGGAAGATTGACACTCTAGGAAGAGTCAGTTTCTGAAGAGTCGTGATTATTACCTCACCACCTATGCAAAGTTTTCTATAGGAGAGGGCCTTTTCTGACCATAAAGATCCCTTTTCCTATATGATATAGAAACAGACGGGAAACAGCAAAAAAAAAAAGACCAAGTTGTCCATCAAATCTGCCTCATTTGTTTTTCGATTTATGTATGTTTTTTTTTAACTTGGGACAAAGATCTGTTTGTCCCAAGTATGTTTGAATCCACTTACTGTTGACTAACTCGCTACCTCTGCTGGAAGTCTATTCCAAGCATTGACTACTTTTTCAGTAAAATAATACTTTCTAAGATTAGTTTTGAACTTTCCTCCTGCTAGTCTGAGGTCATGTCCTTGTGTTTTTGGCTTCAAATTAAAAATACTGATCTCCCAAATCTTATTCACCCCCCTTGATGTATTTAAAGGTTTCAATCATGTCTCCCCTTTCCCTTCTTTCCTGCAGACTGTACATATTCAATTCCTGAAGTCGCTCCTGATATACACTATATTGCCAAAAGTATTGGGATGCCTGCCTTTACACACCCATGGACTATAATGGCATCCCAATCTTAGTCCGTAGGGTTCAATATTAAGTTGGCCCACCCTTTGCAGCTATAACAGATTCAACTCTTCCATAAAGGCTATCCAGAAGGCTTAGGAGTGTGTTTGGCCATTCTTCCAGAAGCGCATTTGTGAGGTTAGGCACTGATGTCGGATGAGAAGGCCTGGATCGCAGTCTACGCTCTAATTCATCCTAGAGGTGTTCTATCAGATTGAGGTGAGGACTCTATGCAGGCCAGTCAAGTTCCTTCACCCCAAACTCACTCATCCGTGTCTTTATGGACCTTGCTTCGTGCACTGGTGCGCAGTCATGTTGGAACAGGAAGGGGCCATCCCCAAACTGTTCCCACAAAGTTGGGAGCATGAAACTGTCCAAAATGTCTTGGTATGCTGACGCCTTAAGAATTCCCTTCACTGGAACTAAGGGGCCAGGCCCAACCCCTGAATAACAACCCCACACCATAACCCCCCCTCCACCAAACTTTACACTTTGCACAATGCAGTCAGACAAGTACCATTCTCCTGGCAACGGCCAAACTGAGACACGACCATTGGATTGCCAAACAGAGAAGCGTGATTCATCACTCCACAGAATGTCTCCACTGCTTTAGAGTCCAGTGGCGGCGTGCTTTACATTACTGTATCTGAAGCTTTGCATTGCACTTGGTGATGTAAGGCTTTGATGCAGCTGCTCGGCCATGGAAACCCATTCCATGAAGCTCTCTACACACTGTTGTTGTGCTAATCTGAAGGCCAAACGAAGCTTGGAGATCTTTAGCTATTGACTCTGCAGACAGTTGGCGACTTCTAAGCACTGTGCGCTTCAGCATGCGCAGACCCCGCTCTGTCATTTTACGTGACCTACCACTTGGTGGCTGAGTTGCTGTTGTTCCCAGTTGTTTCCACTTTGTTATAATACCCCTAACAAGTGACCGTGGAATATTTAGTAGCAAAGGCATTTCATGGATGGACTTATTGCACAGGTGGCAACCTATCACGGTACCACGCTTGGAGTCACTGAGCTCCTGAGAGTGATCCATTCTTTCACAAATGTTTGTAGAAGCAGTCAGCATGCCTAGGTTCTTGGTTGTATACACCTGTGGCCATGGAAGTGATTGGAACACCTGAATCCAATGATTTGGAGGGATGTCCCAATACTTTTGGCAATATAGTGTATTTTATCCCCCAGACCTGTCACCATTTTTTGCCCATCTCTGGACTTGTTCTATCTTATCAATTTCCAATCAGTAATCTTTTTGTAAGTGAGATCTCCAGAACTGGACACAGTATTCTAAATGAGGTCTAACTAAAGATCTACATAGGGGCCCTTTATGGGATCTTTATGTCCCAGGCCATGCTGCCTTTCTGTAGCATGTTGCAGCAGAAACATGGGATGCCATTATTGACTTGTTTGGTAAAGTGCAGGTGTCAGGATGTTCTATAATATTTTATAGATCTAACATTAGATATATTTTTCCATGTTAAGGGCATGAATGCTAAGTGAAGTGTAAATCTAAGGCCCCATGCACACTGGGCATTTAGTTCCGCTGCATGGGGCTCTGGTGTTTTGCTGAGGGTGGGAGGCATAGGCGTCCCCTTCTACTGGTGATCCCCATGGGGCAGTATTTGCTGAGGGACAGATGCCTAGAATGCAAGAAGTTAGCATTCTTGGCATTTGTCTCAGGGTGCATCAAACCCTAAACATTTGTACAGCTAAGTACACTGTTCCCCAGTAAAAAAAAAAAAGTTAACAAAAAAAAAAAAGTTTATATTCACATAGTATGTGAATAAATAAACATATATTGAAATTCTGGAAAGGGCTGGGTGTCACTACAGGGGAATGGGGGTTCTAGAGGGAGTTGGGGTATTCTACAGAAGACTTGGTGGTCTTTTTAGGGGATGAGGGTGTTATGGAAATGAGGGGGATTGGGTCTCTGGGGGCTGGGGGGCTCTCTTGGAGGCTGGAGGGATTTGCAGGGTGCAATGTTGGAGACCGGAGGGCATTGTGGGACACTTCAGGGGCACTATGAGGACTGGAGGCTCTGCGGCAAGCTAAGGGGTACTGTGGGAGGTTGAGGGGCACTGTGGGGACTGCTGGTTTCTTAGGTGGCCTGGCGGCACTGTGAAAGGTTGAGGGGCACTGTGGGCCATTATGGGAGGTTGGACAGCTATGGGAGCTGGGAGGCACTGTGGGAGGTAAAGGGATCTGCAACTAGCTGGAGGCCGGAAGGAAGGAGACCTCAACCTGGCAATGGGCTGAGAACCACTGATCTAGTGTACACAAGCCATGATGAAAGACAAAGTGAGCATTGCCCCCTGTATGTCAATTTTCCAGTTCCACCAGGGTGTCCATTGCAGTTCTCCATGCCAAGGGACTTGCAGCTCACTTCCATTGATCACCAGTTGCTAATTATCATTATTGACAAGTGTTTACTGTGTTGAGATGAGGCAGCTTCCTGTGTGTTGTAGAGTGAGCTCCAGTGTGATCTTGTCTCATGCCAGACCGAATTGGCTGAGAAAAGTCACAGACAGCTGCCTCGCTGCCTCTCCAATCCTTCTGCTGTGCTGGAGAAGAACCAGACGATGAATAATTGATTGTAGAACCTCAGTAAGATAAGGGCTACAGCCATTTAAATACGCCGCTTTACCGGCACTCCATACTGTATATCCTTCATAGAAAGAAGGACTCTAGCACTATAATGAATGATTTGCTTTTCAAATATTATATACAAATGAGTAGTAGAGGGATTGGTAGAGGCAACCAATTAACTATTTTCATTCTATTTTTGGAATGAGTGACTGATTAACACAAAAATCTTGCCTGATACGCTCATTCTCCAAGCCTCTCCCCCTCTACTGCGTTATAATGTTTGACATTGCATCTCATGCAGGAGCAAAGCAGGGAAAGCCTAAAACTGAACTCCAGCCTTCCCTTGAGTCTTGCATAGTTGTACAGCGTCCTCTAGTGGACTGAAATTGTATATTTTAATTTCATTGCACACTCTGAGCTCCCCGCCATGTGCAATAGGTTCACATAGAGCCTGCCTCCTTCCCTGGCTGGAGGACATAGAAAAATCTTCTACAGCTTTTTCCCAGCCTGACTGTCCCTGGCCCACCCCTTTTCATTTGTTGGACTTCAATTCTTTTAAACATGGAAGCTCAGCATCACATGTGGTCTGCATGCAAATACAGCATTGCTTTGGACTGTCCTCCTCTAGATTGACATCCACCCACTAAAGTGTTTGCAAACCTTAGACATGAAATATGAACAAAGGACATCCCTCTATAGCAGTGGTCTCCAAACTGTGGGCTGCACTTTGTTTGCCTTTATCTAGCCCTTTTATGCTATTCCTCACTGATGTGAGACACTATTCCTTACACTGGTAACAATGATGGGGCATAACTTCTTCCTGTGACACCAATGATGGGGTGCTATTCCTCCACTGGTACCAACAATGGGGCACTATTTCTCCCATTGACACCATAGATGGGGCACTATTACTCCCATTGACACCAATGATGGTGCACTATTCCTCCCACTGGTACCAACAATGGGCACTATTTCTCCCAATGACAGCAACGACACTATTCCTCCCGGGACACTATTGCTCCCAATGACAGCTCCCAATGACAGTACCGATGGGGTGCTATTGCTCCCAATGACAGTAACAATGGGGCACTATTCCTCCCACTGGTACCAATGATGGGGCACTATTGATCTTTTGTTGAAAAGAATTGAGCAAGAAAATTTTATACAAAAGTAAAAAACATAACCATAGTACAGTCATACTTCAACAGAAAACAAAAGGAATGCATATCCATGTTCAGAATATATACAATATATACAGAGTTTACTACCAAAACTTCCAAACTATAGAAAACTTTTACATAAAGCAGCAGAGAGGGCCTAAGGATCACAACCCATCACCTATGTACGCAGCCATTTAAAAAAAAAATGAAGCATCAAGGAACAAAACTAGGGTGATAAGAGACAGACACGCCCCAGAAAGAGACTCCTGAAAGTCAAGTAGGCTTGAAACCCCTCCACGCCTTCAACCAATCCCCCTGACCCCACTTGTCTCTCTCAAGCACTCAAATCTTTTCCACCTCATGCAAAATGTCACACACCAATACCTGATCAGGAAGGATTTTACGCCGAGTGGTGACCTGACACCGTGCATTCCAGGTGAAATAACGGACTACTAGGCTAACTAAAAAAAATTGTATCCAACCAAAAAACCCCACCAGTGTGTTTAATGCTCCATACACCCGCTCAGCATAACCCAGCCTAGAGAGGAAAGGAACACCGAGGGCCCATCCCACCTGTTTGTATACCTCTACCTTAAAAGGGCAATGAAGCAGAAAATGGTTCATAGTCTCCTTCTCACCTGCGCACTCCTCCAGAGGACAACCACGATCATTTCACTGCGGTATTTCAAATTGCCCCAAACATAGAGGTTCCCGTGGAAGCACAGCCAGGTCAGATCCTTAAATCTAAGGGGGACTCTATCCAAATTAATCAGCCTTAACCCTTCTCTCATAATTTCACGTGGGCAATCCCTTAAGGCCAGTGGGTCATGAAAAACTTTGCTCCAGACTCGGCTCATAAGGACTTTCTTTGGAGCAGATCTGAGATCTTCAGCCGACAATCACCACTGCAACTTCAGGCACGGAGAGACATAGGCTGGAAGCTGACCACAATGACCCCTGAGATCCTTTACTTGGCCACCTTCTTACCAAAGTCTTATAAAAGGCCTAAACCAAGATCTAAACATGCCTGCCCATCCAGAAGGTTACACTGCAAGCATATTACCAATGTTAAACTTGAGAAAAAGCAGTGAAAAGAAAAGAACTCGGTTGACCAATCCTAAGCCTCCCTCCTTTCTGGACAGATTGGTGACATTCCTCTTGATGAGGTTTAGTCTGTTCCCCCACAGCATGTGGAAGAACACACTAGAGACTCTACCATAGAGAGACACTGGCAAGATGTAGACAAAGCTGACATACAAGAAGATTGGAATCAGGTAAGTCTTAATCAAATCAGCCCTTTTCCTCAGAGATAACTTCCATCTCTTTCAGCTAATCACCCTAGTATTGGCAACTTCCAGCCTGTAATGTCAGATATTCAAGCACAGTAAGAACCATCCATATTGTAATTGGAAGTGTGCAAGACTTGGACCCATCACTGCTGCTTTAATAAACACTTGCACTGTAAATCCATAAACCTCAAAAGAAACAGAGCTGTGAGAGTGAATAGGTTTAAACCTCACATCGAGGTGTACCTTTATTACAATCAAGGATCAAAATATAAGGTGGTCTGGGCAAGGTAGCAGACCCATTTGCTCCTTCAGCTGCTAGCCTCAGGACATTGGCTGTAGGGGTTGCCTAGGCACAGGTGCAGTCCTTGGCCCCATGACCCTTACCCCAACACACTAAACATATTAAAGCTGAACAGGAGGATCTAAAATGCCCCTTTTCTCCACAGTGGTGACACAATTTTGGCTGACCAGGATAGAAAATAGTCATCCTGTCCCTGCCTATAAAAGCAGAGGACGGCAGGTGACGAACAACATTCCCATCCCTGGCCAACCTGACTGTCACCGACCAACCCCCAGTCCAGATGCTGTGCTCATCAAGAATTTTATCCGGTTTTGTCAAAACCTCCCCATAATGTCTCAACCAGAGCTCTAGGTCCCGAGCAGGAACACTCTCATTACTGAGGATGATGGTTATCTTTTTCACTGTTGACCTCTGTGAGACAGCAACTGGTGCCAGACCTCCCATTTGGGGCTTGACCTGCACTGACCTCATTCTGTTTCCAAAACAGGTAAAGACCCTCTGGCCTGGTGAAGCCTATGGTGTATTCCCGGCTCCCAGCTACATGAATAAGGGCATAGAGGTCATTTGCCTGCAACCCATTTCAAGATTAAATCAACCACTACACACCTTGCTGGAGGGACTGCAGCACCTTCCCATTTAAGAATGAAAATATTTGGCCTTGGACCCCCGGCAGATGTCAGAGACCCAAGACCCGACCCTGGGTTACTCAAAGTTATGGTATGTGGGGGAAACC